AAGAACCGATAAAGTAGGATCGCAACAGTGGACAGCTGTTTCGCCCTTCTTGGGGCTCGTCAGCACTGTGTAGCGAAGATATGTAACGCCAGCCCAACAACCAACGCACATAATATTGCAAAATGACCCGTGCACTATATCAAGTTCCGTACTTTGAATTCACTTGCGCCCCGAAACACGCGTTGCCACATCACATATTTCGGGGCGCAAGGAGACAAAGTGTCAAGATTGGTCTCTCGAAAAGCAAAAGAATAAATGTGGCTGGACAAGGCCAGCCTAAACATTTAAACATTCAACCGCATGGCCAGTACCATGCTTAAAAAACGCAGCGTATCCGTAGTCCGCAGTCCGTGTTTTATACTGACCGTGTAAATCGACAAAAACGATGCCTGTTCCGTCGGTATGCGAGACGACGTGCTTTCATTACCAAAACTAGGACAATTATTATGTCTATGAACACGACTTTGAATCGCCTTGGTCTTGGGAGTCCTTTGGGCGAACAGCTACAGGGCATTTTCATTTCCGAAACAAAGAAACGGAGGACATGTTGGTGTACCAAAGCAATCCTGTGGGAGTTGACTCATTTCCTATGTCAACACTTTCGTTGGTTTATGTTATATAATTTGCGCACCGAAATCTAGGCCAGCGAGGGGGAGGCGGAGACGNGTAGAACTGCGTTCTCTCGAACGCAATTACTGCACTTTTAATTTACCTAGCGCTAGTGTTTCGTCACCAAACCGACGGATGTGCTAAAAACTCAGACATCAGACCGGAAAAGTCAGACCCTCTGGTGGGTATATACGTTACGGGTGAGGCTATTACTAGAATGAGCCAAATATCATGAACAGGCTCCACGTTTGGATCTCCTCGATCGCCATTTTTTTAGCGCTCCTACGTTCGCTTCGCTCGCCGACTTTTTTTCGCCCTCGCTGGGAGCCTGTTCAGTTGAAACGTTGTACCTCTTGACTTCACCTGTTGATGAACCAGATTTAGTTTTCTTGCTTTAATTGTTACAATTTTCCTCCTTGATGTACTAAATTTCAAGCCAGTTAATTGTATCAAGGAAGAAACCCATGAAGTCATGATACCCTTGGGAGGCCCTTTGCGGATCACAAGTTCTCGTCCCGTGAGTCTCAAAAGTTCAGGCCCCAAAACTTCATAATAACTTCATAACACACAGAAAAATTTTATCTACGAAAAACGTTTATTCTCCCCGACGTAATGGAAGAAACACTAGCGGTTCGCACGAACCGTTAAATAATAGGAACTTGGGTGATGTTGTTAAACTCGCAGAGCATTGCCAGCTAACAGCCCCCTAAGAGGCATGCGGGGTGCCGAAAACACACTTGATTACGACATATATATTTCATATACTACCAAGCCACAGGTGTTGTAATCTAGATAACATGGCTTGTAATTTTACTGTTAGAAGCCGGACACAACAGTTGTATAGCTCGAAAGTCTCGTGTACACGTACCAGACTTAACATAGTGCTAGCAGCACTGGCAGTTTACAGGCCTCCGTCTACCCTCTAGACTCGATTACCAGCCTCCCCGAAGCCGGGGAGGAACGTAGACCGGACCCGAAAGAGCGGCTGAAATCGAGCCTATCTCCCCGTGGGCCCATTATTTTATGCCCATCGACAGATAGGTCTTTTCTTGTTGTTCTACTCCTTGGTGTAAGGTTTGCCTTGATTATTTTTCTTGTTTGCGATATTTCACACTTGTAGTTCAGTTTCTGGGTTTTATTTCCAAGTGACTGGGAAACTTGAATTTTGTTCGGAGATTGTGAATATCCAGATATTCATCGTACTATATGCCCAGTGCGGCGTAAAAGTTTCTTTCACAGGCAAAGATACCGATGTCGCCACGTTTGCTGCTCATTCTAAAGCGATAAGAAGTCGAAACGGTATTTGGATCTTCCTCTAAAATCTTCGGCAACATTCGGAAGCCTGTTAATTAAATGTTCGGAAATGTCCGGAATCGTTTCTATACCTTCGGGAAACATTCTGAAAATCCTCACGTGAGACCAATATAAACACTAGAAGCTGCTCTGATTTATCAGAATGAGAAGTTTCTCGGTATGAAAAAAAAAAAACCAAAAAAAAACCACTTACTTGAAACGCGAAACGTTGCCAAAAAGTTGCCGGGCTTGCCGAAATAATTAGGGGTGGGGGACCGTAAGTATGGTTTCCCAAAAAACTTTTCAACTACTTCCGCAACTGTTACTTTCGAACGTCTGTAGAGAGTGTTTCAGCGCTAATAATGCAGTTTCGAGCAGTCGTCGTCCTTCCCTTCCTCGAAGCAGTTAATTCCGCTTTCAACAACTTTAGTTTGCTTAGTTTTAAAGGAATGCACTTTCACCGGAGCGGTAGACTGTTTTGATTTTTCCTAAAGGAACACGACCACATTTACCGACCTAATTGGAAACAGAGGCAAACGATTTTTCATTCAACCAGCAATTCTTGGTTACATTTATATTTCCTGTCGCGAGTAAACACACGATTGCTACCAATAGTTTTTGTTGCGATCCACGTCTGGTTGCGATCTACAGTAGAACCCCGGTGACTCGAGCTCGGATAACTCGAACTCCCCTGCTACCTCGAACCAAGTCTTGGATTTGGATTTGACCCCACTTTTCAGTTATTTTAACTCGGTTAACTCGAACTCGGATAACTCGAATTCCCCGCTAACTCGAACTAAATTTCTTTTCCCTTGATAAAAATCTATCCCGATAACTCGAATTCTGGTTTATGTAACTCACCACGGAAGTCATCCATTAGCTTTTCTTGTCCTGTAATCGGTAAAAACTAACACTACAGTAATTTGATTTTAATAAGTGCAACCGACCGTTCACATATTTGACAGTCATTTCCCGATCTTCAAGTTCGAGCTACCGGGGTTCTTTTGTATATATGAGTAGCTTCCCAGGAATTCACCAAAAGTAACCTGACGTTGCGTCATTCTCTCGTGATGGCAATGCTCGAATGTGATTGGCTGCTTTCTCGTGATATTTATTTGGAAAACCGGTACATAAACATTGTCTACACATACTCTTTTTCTATCATAATTCCTTCCACGTATTCATCACGAGACCCTAAATATCATCATAGTTAGAGGTGAGCTACTTCCTTGACTTTCTCTGGGACTTATTCAGTATTCCAAGATTTAGCAAGATTCGCGAAACGAGATGGATGACGAAAGCATCAAGGGGATTACAATCGCCATTTTGTTTTTACTCACGGTCTTCGCCGGTCTCCTTCCTCTGAAAATTCGACCCAGCACAGGACAGGGAAACGTAAGACAACGGTTCCTCAGCCTCTGCAACTGTTTCGCAGGAGGAGTATTCTTCGCCACGTGCTTGCTCGATCTGCTGCCGATGATCAGAGACAAATATCAGCAAGCTTTCAATCTAGCCGGCATCCATACGGTTTTTCCCGTAGCTGAGTTCACGACTTGTGTTGGATTCTTTCTGGTTTTGACTGTAGAGCAGATAGTGCACACATTTCAGGATTCTTCATTGCTGCACGGATCTCACGGGAGCCACAGCCACAACGAACCACTTTTAGGTGATCGGTCAGCAGGGGACGGTTTTTATTCTTCTTCGAGCAGTTCTTTTCGTCCTCAACAGCGAAAGAAAACCAAAGCAGGGGAATCGAGTTTTCGGGTTTATATCTTGATTCTTGCCTTGTCGATGCACTCAATATTCGAAGGTCTAGCTCTTGGCCTCATTACAGACGTTGATCGTTTGGTGCAGATTGCAGTAGCTATCGTAATCCACAAATCGATAATTGCATTTTCTCTCAGCGTGAACTTGGTGCAACACGAGATGGAAACGAAAACCGTTGTAAAATCAGCCGTTCTGTTCTCTGTAATGAGTCCGATAGGAATAGCGATCGGTATGGCGGTACTACGCGGCTCTAGTGAACAATCAAGCAGTTTTGCCTCGGGCATCTTACAAGGGATTGCAGATGGGACATTTTTGTATGTGACTTTCTTTGAAATCTTCCAGCGGGAGCTTGCAGAACGTGGCAGTCGCCTGCTCAAGGTTCTGTCCATGATAGTGGGCTACTCAGTTGTAACAGGACTCTTGTACTATTCTAATGTTTTAGAACACGAAAGTCATGATGTTCACTCAGGAAAGGAGAATTCTACTGCTTTACTGGCCATGGCAGCTTCAGGCTCTATGTAGTGATACTGTTTCAGTTTCCAAGGAAAACTTATTTTAAAAATATACCTGTGCACTCAGTAAATTTGTTTTCAGCTACCTTAAAATCTCTTTTAAGCCCCTATGTGCTTCTGCTAAAGGAAAGTAAAGGTTTTAGAGGTATATTATATTCTTAGAGCTATCTATCCTCCCACTCTTCTTTGTTTGGGTCTGGGGGGGCGGGGCAGGGTCTCTATTATAGGCGTGATATGTGTTGAACAGAGATTAACTTGTTACTTAAGTTTTTTAAAATATATATATATTATAAATTATGGGTACTTAATTGGGCTTACCTAAATTATTACATTTCTCTTAATTTAATTGTTGTGAAACACTGTTCAAAAATTTAAAGTTAACCTTGAGGTGAATAAGATGTTCACCTTGAAAAGCCTGATAGGCTTATTTCAAATTGACTGGAACAAAGAATTCTAAGATGCAGTTGAATGCCCTTATCTTGAACTCTCAAGTGAAAATGAAAAAAGTTTGATATGGCAGGGGTTCGAGACTGAAAAGGTATACTGAAGGGGAAATGATTTGAAGATAGCAGGAAATTCATAACCAAGTTCAAGATAGTGCATTTCAACTGTATCTTATGTCATTCAACCAGGGTTAATGCCAGGTTGCTCCTTCAATCCACAGCATTGGAACACGTTTAGGATTAAAGTGTCAACTTTATTGGAAAAATAATGATCCAATAATTTATCAGATCACTTGTAATTTAAAGAATACAACAAAATAAGTGATTTTTTGGTTGTAGAACAGGAAATGAGAGAGATCATTAGCTCTGTAGGCGTCCACAGAGATCCTTGCCATATACCAGAAACTGGGTGTGTTTAAAAACGTGAAATGGTAAAAACCCTTGGACACCTGCATCTCACATTGACCCTTACCCACAGTGCCATTTTTATTTTGCCATTTCATGTTTTAAGTATGCTCGTAAAATCTATATATTCAAATCTATATTTTCTCAGTGTTAAGAAATAAGGGGTCTCTTAGTTTTTTAGAGTTCTTTTAGTTTTTTAGAAGACATTCAAGTTTTCAGAAAAGTGATATATTTGTGTGAAAGATGTTGATGTTAGATTAACATGTTTATTTCCAAGTTGTAAAGACAATGTTAGCTCATCTTGTTTAAGGTAGTATTTCATATCTTTACCACTGAACTTTGCCACTTTACAGAAAAACTGGCATGCTTATTTACAATAATTATTACTACGGTAATTACTAAAATCAGGAAAGCTGCAGATGTCATAAATCAGCCAAGTACAACAATTATCAATACCTTTGAAAAATTGTAATTATATTTCTTCATGCTATTCTTCAAATTTGAGTTTTTCATGAATTGTGTAGTACAAAAAAAATATATCCCATCTGTTTTCTCAATTTCAGATTTTATTTGATATTCAACAATTAGTTTTTCACCTCAGTACCCTTTCATTTGATCGTCTGTACCTGCTATGCATGGCATGAGTACAAAGAGAACAATCAACAAATACGACAGCTTGTGTATAATTCCACCGTGTAAGATTGTTTTTTCTCCAAGATGTTCATCCTTACCATGTTTATATTAATTAAGAAGTTTGTTGAATAACATATTACAAAGTTTTAAATTCATGAATAAAAATATAAATATTTTGTGAGATAAGTTTTTTCCAAATGATAATAATAAAGATAATAAAGAAATTGAATTGACGCTATTGTGTTTGGGTTTTATGGTCTTTGGAACAAATTACATTTGTATTATTGATTAGGAACTTCATAAAGGGTCCTCATGTAGCCTCTTTCTGGCATGCAGTTAGTTGGGGCGCAGTGCAAGAAACAGCGCTCGCTGCGCTTTTTTTATTTTTTCGCACACCATTCTTCGCAATGTGCTCCAACCAACTGAACGCCTGGAAGAGGCTAGTCCTCATGCAAAACGTTTCACATGAAATTGAGTTTCATTCGTATGAAAATGAATGTGTAGGTGGCATGTTTACATATGAATAGTTTGATGTGGAGACTCCTTTTTGCACAAAGGGAAAAGGTTGAAAAAACATACCGTATTAACAACTTCTATTACCTTGTCAGGCTAACCAGTTCCTTCTTTGCTGACAAGAGAATAATCACTGCCAGTGAGCAGGAGAGCACTTGTTGATAATATATTCAGTGATGGTGCGTTGAAAAGGATTCGTTTGGACATGCAATTGAAAATTTTTTTGCATAGGGTGCAGCAGGATGGAGGTAAAAATATTGTCTTGTCAAGAATTCCCTCCCCCTCCCAGAGTAGCCTGTGTGATAAGCAAGTTGAATTTAGTTCTCTCAACTTTTGAATCCTGCATTGCACATGGCAACAGCGTATACACTTCACCACTCAAGAGTACAGGGTTTATGAATCTCCCATTTTTCAATTTAGAGACTATCCACATTCCATATTACACAAGTTTTTAAACCCAAACTACTGTGTTTTGTCTAATACTGTGCTTTAAAATGATAAATTCTAGACAGTTTGACCAAGAGCTGAATTACACAAACCTTTGTTTGCCAGGCGGGCCAGCCAAACAAACAGCAGATCTGCAGTATGACCTCCATAAAAATCCCACGGGGTACTCCCTATAATGGCCTGTACAAGGAGGCACTACCTGAAAGGGGTAACTATTTTGGGCGTCAGGTATATAGAAGGGGTAAGGGATTTCATGAGTCGAGGTATATGAAAGGGTAGGGAAATCTGTAATTTAGTTATTTAACAGGGCAGATACACTTTATGGCTGTATCATTATTTATTAAGCACAACATGAAAATGACAAGATTTGTTTTTTGGGGTATTTGTTCCTAATAACAAGTACCTTACCCTTTTTGTTAAAATGCTATACAAAAGGGTAAGGAGTTGGACCTCGGGGTGGAACCTCCCTGTATAAAACTTTGTAGAGAACCCCCAATAAATGTTCAATATTAGAGAAAAGGGGTACAGTGTATGGGAGGGCACTTAGACAGGGCACTTGGTAAAACTTGGGAAACTCTGTGAGAGACTTAAGCATCCCATCCAGGTGGAGTAGAAACATTCCTGGTCACTTTGTGCCAAAGAAACCAGAGATAAGCCCGGCCAGACGAGCCACTAGACTTAACCTTAAGATCCCCCAAAAAATCACTCACAGCACTAAACTAAGATTGGTACTAATAGGAATATGTGGCATTTAATAGAATAGAGATAACAAGTATCTTAAAAGGGATGCTTATTACAAAAATTTAACTGGTTGCAATACTGATTCTTTACTTACTACAAAAATATCACTGACCTGATTACCTTAATAATAATAATAGTAATAATAATAATGATGATGATGATAACGATTTATAATAATAATAATAACAATAACAATAACAATAATAATAACAATAACAATAACAATAACAATAATAACAATAACAATAATAATAAAAGCTTCATTTAACCTGAAAAACCGATCAGCAGATTAATATTGGTAAATGGTGGTGCAATACGGTCACCATTGGGCAATGAAAATTTGGCCATATTAATGGGATGATGTAAAATTACAAACCTCATGAAAAAGTTGAAAGCTACGATGAAATTTTAAAAAATTGAAACTTCAATCAGTTCATTCAATGTTTAAATCGGAAAGATGAACATCACTGGTTTGAGCGGCTGTATAAATGGAGTAAAATTGTAAAGGATTACACAGGTTGGGATTTCAGAATGTGGCTGTTGGCCGTATTAACACAGTAGCTGCATTAACAGGGTTTTCCTGTGAGAAAATGTATGAGCGTTTTGCCTGGACAAAAAGTGGCCATAATAATGAGGTGGCCATAAGGCAGGGTTCCCCTGTATTACCTTACCCATACACTTATACACAGATTACTTTGAGGGATTCAATGAAGAATATGTAGACCATAAGTCAAACTTTTCTTTGGTGTGAATGAAACAGGGAGAGGTACATTGGTCTAGTCAGCCTGGTGAAAAAGCAATGTACAGTAAGGTCTGGTGTGTGTAAAAAAGAGTTAGGAATAACAACAATTTTTGGAAAGGTAAATCTTTGGAGGAGCAGTGGTCTAAATTATGGTTAATATGCTGGACTTCGGATCAAGCAGTTCAGGGTTCAAGTTCAGGCTCAGGTCAGTATGTTGCATTCTTGGGCCAGGCACTTTACTCTCACTATATCCTCAGACCCTCTATTTTGTGTTGAGTTTGTCAAGACTATGGGAAGCACGGTGGCCTCATGGTTAGTGCACTCCACTGCAGAGTGAGCAGTCGGGGTTTAAGCCCTGGCCGGGGACATTGTGTTGTGTTCTTGGGCAAGACACTTGACTCTTACAGTGCCTCTCTCTACCCAGGTGTATAAATGGGTACTGGCAAATTTAATGCTGGGGGGTAACCCTGCAATGGACTAGCATCCCATCCAGGGGGGAGTAGAAATACTCTTAGTCGTTTCATGCTACTGAAACCGGGATAAGCTTCAGCCTGATGAGCCACTTGGCTCGTATGCAGACTTTACTTTTACCTTTTTTGGTCGAGATTGGAAGCTTAGCGAAATATTAACCCAACACATACAACATGCACACTAAATGGGGTGTAGCTGGGGAAAGATCAATTTAATTTTTTTTTTTTTTTTTTTTTGCGTACACCTCACACCTCCTCCTCACTATCAGGTGCACTTGCTTAAATTAAAGGTCTTTCAGATATTAAGAAATTTATTGTCTGTGCATAAATTTGTTCAGAGACAGCAATAAGGAGGTGATTGAGTCAACAGGGGTGGACATAAGCCACAGTTCCACTGTTCTCCAGTACTACAAAATATTATTGTTATCATTGATCAGAACACTTTTCAGTTATGATCCCATTTACATTTGTTGTTTTCTTGCTGCATCATCAATAACACAAATAGTTTTTGCTACAATACACATGCACATTAAAGCCCATGTGCACCATAAGCCAACATTTTTTCGTGCAAAGGACGCCCCTGTTAAGAGAGCAGCCTGAAAAAGTGATCTCACTATGTTTGTTTTTGGTGTCAATAAATTTTCAACAATGTGGAAGCAGTAATTAGGAGTCAGAACAAGTAGATCCACCCAGTGATCTTGCACACTCTGCTATTTTCTGTTCTACAATAAGCTATTTTTTCCACTTTCTCTTCTAAGAATCTGTTTCCATTTGAGAGTCCTCTGCTTGATTTTCAGGAGCATCCTTCTGACTCTGGGAGGAATCTTTCTTATTATGGGAGGCATCTGCCTGGTTTTCAGAGGCATCTGCCTGGTTTTCAGAGGCATCTGCCTGGTTTTCAGAGGCATCTGCCTGGTTTTCAGAGACATCTGCCTGGTTTTCAGAGACATCTGCCTGGTTTTCAGAGACATCCTCCTCATTTTGTGATGCACCAGCTTGATTTTCAGAAGTGTCCATCTCCCTGTCAGAATTGTCCTTCTGATTTTCAGAAGAGTCTTTCTGGCTAAGCCTCTCTTCAAAGAACTTGAAGATTGAATCAAAAGCAACATGTGAAGTGAGCTCATGTTGGTTTGTGCCTAGAAAGAAAATAATATATATATTTATGGAGAGCAATTATTACTGCTGATACTAGTATTCACTAGTTCCACAATTTTGCATTACATCAACAATGAGTTCTAGATTTCAGATCACAGACTGGGAGGCAGAGGCAGCCTAACAGTTAGTGCTCTTGAATCAGGACTGAGTGGTCCAGGCTCAAGCCCTTGCCGGGGCACTGTGTTGTGTTCTTGGGCAAGACACATCATTCCCACAGACCTGTGAATTGAAACACAGAGAGGGACAACCTGTGATGGGCTAGCATCCCATCCAAGGGGGAGTAGAAATACTCCTTGGCTAGTTATTTCACATGCCAGCTTTATGGGACACTAGGCTAAACAATTCAGAGCTTACTGTTACCTTAAAGTTTATTGCTACCTGGGATGTCAAAAAGTTTTGTGTTTATGTACAAAAAGATATATACTTGCTTCAATGTGGTACACTGTTTATTCCTTACCAGCTGACACCATTTCACAATCAGCTCCTTTGAACAAGGACGAAACAGGAGCATCCAGAGGAAGACCTGATGAAACCCAGTTACGTGAATTCTACAAACAGCGAAAGACATCCAACTGTTAGATATTGCTATTAAGGTGGTTCAATGAGGAATTATTCAATATGAGTGTTTTTTGTACCCTTTTCATCCAATGCACAAGTTTCTTGTCAGCTCTCTGGTGTGCAAGACTGTGCACAGAGTCTGTAAATGCAACAGCTTTTATCCTTTGCTCGATTCCTTTACAATTTTGTAGCTGAAATCAAGTAAATTACATACTTCTTTTAATACATATAAAAAATGTTTCTGTAAAGAAACTTGTTCAACATTTTTCACACTGTGGAAACTGGCTGTTATCTGCATGATGATAACCATTCTAGCTCTTGTAACTTGAGACAGACTTATTTTCAAAAAAGTTAGCATAATATATAACTACTAATAACTAACTTGATTTACTGGGAACACGCTTCAACCCCCCTTCTCTTTGTAGTGACTCCAAGTAAAATAATAATCAAAAAATGTGGTTCCATATTGACAGAAGGTTGCTCTTTGGGGAAATTTATAGAACCAGTAAGTTGCTTGGTTGAGGTTAAAGCTTTGTTTGTTTGAGGGAGAAATTCATTATACAAGGATTTGCTACGATGTATTTTAATGTGAATTAGTCAAGAAACATTTGGCTTATCAAGACTCAAAAACCAGGCAAGAGAGACAAAAGAGAGGGCAACATTTCTAAGTAGTTACATGTAACACTATTTTAAATTCTTAAGTGTTTGTGCCACATGCCATTAGTCTAGAAACATGTAGTGCATCAGGAGTAAATACTGTTATGCTTTCATTTGAATAATTTGAATATAGAGAAATAGTAAGTAAAAATATAATGGCTTGGACCAAATGCAGTGCAGCTCCACCATTAAATGATGTCATTAAATATTTAATTTACCCCTTCCACAATAACAATTCCTCCATAACTGTGAGCGACGACAACTACTGATTGAGCTGCAGCTTTGGAAATGAAGTTATCCCACACATAGACAAAGTGCTTCTCTGGGGACTCACTACCCTGAAAGAGAACAGAGAAAGTCTAAATGTATGCTGAAATTCATGCTAACAATAAAAATAAAGATCTCTAGGAACATTTACCAGAATGTATGTGTTGTAAGAATATGGGTGAACGGCCATGGAGAAAGCTGGTGGCTTTAAACATTGTCAAACATGGACACTGCACGCACTAATTGAAACTTAAATCTGAATATTATTACATGTCCAGTTCATTCATATGAAGATCACTTCCAAATTAGTCCACAAAAAATTAAAGTCTCCAACAAGTTATAGTATCATTGCCATGAAGAAAACAATGGCAGGTATTGCAACCTTTCTGGAAAACATGTATTCCAGAACCCTGTTATTGGATAACCACAAAAGCAATTTGGGAATATACAAAAGTTAAAATTGCAAAGAGTATAAGACCCTCTTTTCCTATTCAAGTTTTTTTTTATATGTTGCACATTGCACCTGAAGTGTGAGTGACTTGAGGTTTAGCAATGTTTTTTCTTTTTGACACATGTACCAATATTCCCTTGTTAATCTATTTGCATCTTCTTCACAATCCTTCAGGATGTTCACTTGTAATCCAAAGGATGTTGCAGAGTTTTGCAAAGATCCTTTAGGTCCCTGACAAGTTGCTGCAAAGACCCTTCCAGTTGATCCAAAGTGCCTGCAAAGCACCTAAAAAGATCGTTGGATCCTATTGAAAGATCCCTCAAAGGATCACGCTGCACACTAAGGACCTAATCAAATCCTCGAGGATCTTAAAGAAGTCTAGCAATGATCTCTGCAAGATCCTCACGTACCCAAGGATTATAAAGGTCTTTAATACATCCTTTTAAGAAGCCTGAAAGATCTAGTAACCAAAGCATGTTTAGCAGGCATTGGAAGTTCATTAAAGATCCTGTAAGGATTCTCACCAGGAAAGGAAACCTTACTTTCACCTTACATGTACTTTTAATTGGAAATCATTTTATTCACCAATTTCAAAGTGGATATCGACATAATGTTTTTTTCTTTTTACAGCACACTTACCCTAATAGGTATTCTCCGTTTGTTGTTCTTTATATGGTTTTCATTGCCATTTGTGATAACTACTCCAAAACCTTCCTAGTTTGAAAAGAATAATAATTAAATTCAGTAATGTTTGTGACAATTAGCCAGTTTTAAGGCAACTGCTGTAACAAAAATAGAGAAACACAACCTTTTTTTTTATGAATTTAAATTTCATGACTACACTATCTGTAAATTTGCTTAAGGATCCTTAAGGTTCAATTTTTGGATTCCTTGGATTTGCTTGTACCCAGTAACATGAAGACTAGATCCAGTCCAGCTTGTGGGAACCTAAAAATAATGAATCAAAATATTTTACACCTTGATAAAAGCAGAGATCAAACCTGACTAGCTCGCTTGATGTAGGGCAACATTGTTCCTCTATTCAAATCATTGTTTATTATTAATCTACAAAAGAAAGCAAAGATCATGAGTCAATTGTCACTGAAACCCTGCAGAATTTGTTAATTCATATTATTAAAAAACAATGAGTTGTGCTTGTGTTAAAAAGATCTTGTCCATTTTTGTTATTATACGGCTGGGAACTACAGAATTCACGAATTTGATTGACTGAAATTGATATTGAAAGCATTCTAGATTTTCCTATCTAGACCGGCACCTAGATTGGTAATGTTTTGCGGTGAAAAAGTTGCAAACTTAATTACAAAAATATTGACTACTTTCTTCTAGCAATATTTATTTATCAAAGTGCCAAAAAGCCTAGTGAGAAAAAAAGTACAGAGGCAAACATTAACCAAATTAAACAAATTAAATTGTTCTTGTTTCATTGCCATATAATAAACATCTTACTAACTGAGCTTGGTCGGTCTGCATGGAAGAATCTTGATCTCGGTTGTGTGTACAAACCTCACTGCTTTCGGTCTGTACTCATGACCTCAAGAGTCTCCCATACAGACCTCCTGCTCCATTAATAAGAGCTAAGTATTAAATACCTTCTTGCCCACTGCCCTGCTCTAACCACACCACTGCCATGAATGAGGATCATCAGCTTGTCTTTCATCATTGCATCATCACTCATAAAAATAAAACTAGTAACTTCATCTTCTTTTGCATCAACCTGCAACAAAGTTGTAAGTGGAAGAAAACTCTTTGTTTAAGGACGGTGCCTACTAAATACAAAGGTTTTTG